GGTTTTGCTGCGAAGTCAGAGGCATTACTTCATTAAATGGAGCGTGGGGCCCTGAGGCCACATGGCGATTCAACCACAGTTTTTTCAGACCGTGTCTTTGCGGCCTTCGCAGCCTTTCTTTTGCTCTTAGGAGGGCAAAATGCTTGACGAAACGCTAGGCGCTAGGGCCGAAGGGAAGTCCCTTCAATCAGTTCATGACCGTGTTTTATTAGGCACAAACAAGTATATTTCAAGCTTCAATTTTAGTAACCACCATACAACTCAAACTCAATAAAGCCCTAATCCCAACTACATGGGACCAGTTTGCATGAATTCATTTCTCATCAAGAATTCCAGGAAACTCTTTAGATTGACAATATTATAAATAAATAAAAGCATAGTCAAGGAAACCAATCTTGCTTTCTTCTTTGCAGTGGCCTCTACAACCCAATCACGAATACAATTAAAATCAGTCCCTTTGGGAAGTAAATCAACCTGATATTAGAAAGTATAATCAATTAGAAAAGTCGCTTACGTCAATATCACATTAAAGAAGCACCAGCAGGCAGTTTAATACCTTAGTAATCACTAATATTATAGGATTTGCACCAGCCAAATCACGCACACGAGCCAAAAAGCTACCATTGAAATCCACAATATCAACCTATACACGAGTAACCGATTAAGACATAGAATTTAACATTCCTCAAGGCAACTCACTTACTTCATAGCAAGCAAAGTTAGAAAGTAGTTTACCAATTTAACTATCAATGCTCTCCCATGGCGCAGGTAGGCCAGATTCTCTCGAAGCTGTTCAGCCATAATGAACTGTTTCCCGCCAGAATAGCCCCCATTCCCACCAACAGCAGTTATCATGTGTCCATGAGATAGAAGCTTGCACCATTTACATTTGGTGGTGCTTCTTCTTCTGCACATTTACATTTGGTAAACAAAAGCAAAATATGAGCATCTGGAACTCAAGGAAACATCAGTAAAAGCATTTTGGACTTGGAATTGCTTTTCTTGATTTGAAATGAATGAACTGAACTTTAACTTAAATACTGACAGCTAAATTACAACCCAATTCAGTAAAAGCATTTTGGACTTGGAATTGCTTTTCTTGGCTAAAAAAATTGCAATCCGATTGACAAAAGAAATGAAATTAAAGTAATACAAGCATAATTTATACCAATGCGTAGGTCTCGGGGTCCGAATAACCCGAAGCATCAGGCTCCGAAGTTTGTAACTGAAAAACATTAAGATAAAAAGATTTCCGAAAAAACTAATAACAATGTTAGTTGTAGGAACCGAATTAAATCATACCCTAGGTCAAATAATTCCTTCCATTTGGGGATTATTTGACCTAATTGGGAATTACTCAACCTAATTGGGAGTTACTCA